CCCTCAAACCTTTTGTCGTGAATCATTGTCGTTCGTCGTGAATTTCAGTCAGAAGTATCGTCGGTAATAACTCGGTTTTAGTTGGTTTTTCATCGATTCACGGCGATCGGGTCATCCGTTTACGACACCTCCCGCACCATCGTGTTCGTTGCATCGTTCCGAGTTTGCCGGTGTCATCCTTGGTCTCCGTCGACGGCGGCGCGTGAGGAGGTGAAGCGATCAAAGTTTCCGATTTGTTGAAATCGAGCTCTCCGCCGTTCAAAATTGTCAACCGAGCTTTGTAAGTATCTCGAAATCGCTCAAAATAATTTTTAGAAATTTTTACGGGATTTTAGCACTGTTCACGCACCCCCACGCGCTGCCACTGTGCGTGGGGAAGGAAAAAGTGACCTGTTTGACCGATTTTGGAACTGTTTTAACCGGTTTGACCGGTCACAACCCGACCCGACCCGTTGATCCGACTCGACCCGTTTACCAGGCCCGTTGACCCGACCCGACCCGTTGACTCGACCTGTTGACCCGTTGACTGTTGACCGGCGTTGACCACTGTTGACCAAAACTTTGACTGGCTTTGACCGAGCATTAAACGACCTTTGTTTTTGACCAAGTATACTTATCCTGACATTTTTCGACGTTCCAAATCTGATTCCGCAGTTCGTTTCTCGAAATTCGGATCCGAAGGCCTCGAAATTCATAGTAAAACCCGTTGACTTTGATTTTGACCGAAAATTCCAAATTTTCGAAAAGTCATATTTTATGCTTTCGACGTCCTGAATCCGAATCCGAAGTCGGTTTCGCCAAATTCAAACTCGGTAAGCTATTTTTCACTGATTTATCACCCGATTTGATCCGTTTATCGCAATTAAGCTCCGTTTCTGATATAATTTATGTTGATATGTATCTGAGGAATTATTGGAAGTTGAATTGAAGATCAAAGGCGTTCGAATGGAATTTTTATGGTCGATCGGTATTGCACGGAAATCGAGGTAATACTTTACTACCTCTTTATGCTTTTTGGAACATGTGAATATTGGTAAATGCATGATTAAGACAATGTTGGTCTCATTTGTGTAGTTAATTAGTTTCTACACTCGATATGAATGTGGTAGAAATTCAATATCTGAATACGGATCGAATGATTAATATAAGAGATTGAAAGATTGTTAGAGTTAAATTACAAGTTTTTGATTAGTGATAAAGAAATCAGACATGGATTTGTAAATTATATTATTTTCGTTAAGAGCTAATATCGAAATTATCTGGTTAAGAAATTACGGAAATGCCTCAAGAGGTAGAATAGTATGAGTTGACTCTAAATGAGAAAATACTTAGAGGATTCTTACTTAACTCGATTAAGTACGGATTTGATTGTTAAAATCCTGACTTAGTGCAGGAAAATTTCTGATGTTCCGTTTGTAAAATCTGATAAGGCACTTGACCCGGAAATATTCGAGTTATGAGTAAATACCTGAAGAACAATTTGTCGGGGGTGTTCTGTTGTCAGAATTGTTCGAAAGGACTGAAATAAATGATAAGATTGAATTTAATAGTAAGATCACGGAAGGAAATGATTAAAGTACACTGAATCTGTACAATGACCAAAATACCCCTGTAATGGAAATGACCCAAGAATATCACCAAGCTCAGGAATGATTGGATATCCTCGAGCTCTGAAATAAATGGAATAAAACTGAACACCAAAATTATCAAAATAACCTTATGGCCTAAATTAAGTAAATACCTTGGATTAATTAAGGAATACAAATAAGCATAGGTATTGGACTACCTTTAAAAGTTATGGAACAACTTAAGTGAGCGATCAACCTTAATATGTCAGTACCTGAACGACATGATATTACTTGAATGCATGTTTGTCTACTCAAGCTTGGCTCGATGATAATTTTGGAAGTATTCAGCTCAGCTCAATTCTAGATCGCGTTAAGCACTAAGGTTTGGATGTTTGTTCGACAAAACAACCACGAAGACCAAATTGAATGAAATGGAAGTACAACATGTATCTGAAATTCAGGAACGTTTGAATTACTCTGAAAAATCCCGAAGTAACTGTAATGCACTTGAATGCTAAATAAATTAAGTAACCTCAAGGACTGAGGATTAAATAAGTGATTTGGATGAATCTGGAAATGTTAATGAACATACATGATGTAATGTTCTTATGGATCATGAATTACAAATCAAGCACGTCAGCATTTCATGTATAGTGAAAGTGAACATGAAATAAAGACATTGGAAGATTTATTTAACGATGATTCCGAAGATAATATATGGACTAGAAATTATGATATTAAAGAGTAAATATCCTGGAAGAACAATGAATTGACCAATAGATAAGCATTAGTTCTAGGAACTATTCATCTAAGAGTTGTTCGATAATCAAATCAAACGACATATTTTGTATAAAAATTTATGAACACTTTCCTGATGCATATGCATCATATCGGAATTCTAAAGTATCAACCTTAAATGTCGGATTAGATTGGTTAGTAATCGATTCCCTTCAATAGGACCTCATTTTTAGAATCTGATCAAATTACATCAGTTTCATGTTATTAATTCTGATAACTACTAAGTGACTCTGAGAAATACTTGGATATCCTAGTGTGTTCCACATGTACCACATGACGATTTTATATGTTTTTAAATGAGTTTCACCGAAACTATTGATTTACTGATTTATGAACCATGACAAACATGTTATATGTTTCCGATTACGGGTTTTACCGAAAAATATGAATTATTCTTGATTTATGACATCTTGGAATCTACTGGTTGTATGAACTATGTTTACTTTAAATATGTTATAGGGTTTCCTATTTTCATTGGAAAATATGATCTTGATAAATCATGTACTGAATATTTTTATGAGACACTACCCGATGTTCTGAATACAGTTTATTTTGAGATATGATTTACCACATATTTTGATATGGTTTCTGGTTACGGTATTTTTGTACATGATTTCTAAATATGGATTAATTACCGTTACAGTTCCCCCAGGTCCCTTTATTGTGTGCAAGGGTAAGCCTTACAGTTCCCCCAGGTTCCTTTGCTGTGTGCAAAGGTAAGCCTTACAGTTTCCCAGGTTCCTTTGCTATGTGCAAGGGTAAGCCTTACAGTTCCCCCAAGTCCCTTTGCTGTGTGCAAGGGTAAGCCTTACAGTTCCCCCAGGTCCCTTTGCTGTGTGCAAGGGTAAGCCTTACAGTTCCCCCAGGTCCCTTTGCTGTGTGCAAGGGTAAGCCTTACAGTTTCCCCAGGTCCCTTTGTTGTGTGCAAGGGTAAGCCTTACAGTTTTCCCAGGTCCCTGTGCTGTGTGCAAGGGTAGGCCTTACAGTTTCCCCCAGGTTCCTTTGCTGTGTGCAAGGGTAAGCCTTACAGTTTCCCAGGTTCCTTTGTTGTGTGCATGGGTAAGCCTTACAGTTTCCCAGGTTCCTTTGCTGTGTGCAAGGGTAAGCCTTACAGTTTCCCCAGGCTCTTTTGCTATGTGCAAGGATAAGACCTTATCGATTTTGCATGCTCCTCTGCTTTGTGCACGGGGTAAATATGTTTTAAATTGCTACTATTTTTAAAAGATATGTATCTTTTCACTGTTTTTACGGGAACACACTAGATAACCTATTCTGATCTCCTGAACTCAGTCATCCGAAATATTTGTCTGAACTGAAAGCTCATTGTCCATTACCATCTGAAATATCAGTAGGATCTCTGCTCAGCATAAAAATCTATAAATGTTCGGAAATAATAAGGATATGTATGTTTATCTGCATCTGCACGTTCTTCAGCATCATCTGGTAGTTCTGTATTACTGAGCTTTTCGAAGCTCACTCTATGACTCACATTTTCAGGTTAAAAGAATTGTACCAGTGCATTATCGACTTCAGTAAGGGAGTTCGTCCGGCGTTGTTGCAGAGTATGGTACATGTGATTAGGGGGCATGTAATTGTATTTTGATTTATATACGTGTTTGGAAATCTGTTTTATTTTTAAATAGTGAAAACTGATTTTATAAGTTTACATGTTATGATAAAAAGTTTTAAATTTTCCGCTATTTTTACAGTGGGTCGCTCCGGTGGCCCAAATGTGACACCCCAGATCGGATCTGGTTACCCTTATCGGTCTGTGGGGGTTACAAAATTTATCTCAAACTTTTTAAAAATCAATTAAATTAATTTTTTCTATGAACAACAAACGAAAAAAAAAGATAAAAAAAGAAATGAAAAGACACAAACATACTAAATCAAAATTAATATTACAATAATAAGCATGAGGATAAATTTATCTTTTTATTCTAAAATTTTCTAACCGCGACTGTTGAAATATTCAACTTTTCTAATTAAATTAAAATTTTAATTTCAAACACATTTTAATAACAAAATATGTATTATTTAACCTAACTTTTACTGTCAATAAATAATTTTGACGCTGAAAAATATTTTACGAAAAATATTTTTCTCATTTTCTTATGTTTTTTAGTTGAAAATATTTTCGGACAAATATTTTTCTCATTTTTCTGTGTTTGATAGTTGAAAAATATTTTTAGAAAATTGTTTTTCAATGTTTGAAACTGTATTTGGTTTTACTGAAAACTTTTTTAAATGTTTGACAATTGTAATTAGTTTTGCTCAATGTAATTAATTTTCTTAGTTACTTTGTATTTTATGTAAAATGTTTTACCATTTGATTTTTCGTAAAATATTTTCCTAACTTTTCATTTCAAAGTATAAGTTCTTAAAATAATATTATTTTATTTATTTTATATTAATATAATATTTTAATATAATTTAACAAAAATAATATTATTTGTATTTTATGTAAAATGTTTTACCAAGTTTTTAAAAAACTCCACCAAATGGGAAAGTTTTGTACATTGAAGGAAGAATATGCGTTTCCTCTAGACACGAAGCGACACCGTTTGAAATCGAAAATCCCGTATATAACCACAGCTTCCAACCTGATAACAAAAAATTTTCAAAAAGAAAAGAAATCCCTAGAAGGTGACAACAGGGAGAAGATGAGACCAATTCCAAGGGAATTCGTGGTGGACCAAGACGATCAAGGCTCAGCTATGGAGGTCGACGATCTCGAGCAGCTCGAGATCTGCGGCGAAAGCGCCATCTCCTTCGAGAATAAGCTCTCCGACGTCGATTTCTTCAACAACTTTGAGGACGATTTCGATGACACCGACATCAACTAAAAGAGAAAAGAAAATCAGAGTACTAATGTTTCTTCTTTTCCGTCTGTTCCCGCTTTCTAATTCGAACTCTATGGATAATGGTGTTATCATCTGCCAATTTTTGTCGGTATAAATGCGATTTTCAGTTTTAGAATCGTCTTTCAATTTATTTTATTATTGTTACTGTGCTTTGTTTGTGATTCTGCTAAACACATAAATAAATGACTGTGGCATGTAAATCAAATGTTGCATTTGAATTTGAAGGAAAACCTGGCTGGGTTCTTAAATTGTTCGTAATTTTATTTTTATTTACTTTATATAATCTACCAAATCCCTAGATTTCACTATTAAATTCTTAATTAGGATTTGAACTCACGTCTTTGTACTATTGATCTTCAATTTCGTCATATTTTACGAGATTAATTATAGATTCCATCGTCAATTTTTTTTTAATTTTTAAATTTCAAAGATTTTCAATTTGATCACTTTTTATTTTGTTCACTTTAACGGCATCTATCTTCCATAATTTTCAATTTTTTAATTTTTGAAAGGGAATGGTGTGTCATTGCATTCGACATCTATATATTGTGTGACAGGTGATCGTTAGTTTTTTTAGGGTGTTCGTTAGGGGTGTAAAAAACTGATTCGACCGGTAAAAGTGATTGAAATCGATTCGAGTTAAAAATTTTTGTGACTTGAGCAGTGGTGATCCGAAACTGACTCGAGTCGGAACTAGAGTTCATCTGAACCCAAGGTGGACCTAGAAATTGTGGATCAGAATCTGACCTGAATTTGAATTGAATCGAACATGATAACTGAACTCGATCTACATCTGACTGACATGAACTCGAACTTGAGATTAATCTGGTAAATAACTGGTATTATTCGATCTGTTTTTAACTTGACCTATTATGAACTTGACATGTAATTGACTCAGGTGGTGTTTGTTTTTACTGTGCAACATCTTCAAACCACTTATGTCTGCGTCGCGCAGACCACGCGCAGACATTAGGCTTCGCAGACTGTTTGTTTTTTAGAAGACAGAAGTTCTTCAAACGTTTGAGCGAGCTCTTCTTGGTGCAAACTTGATTTTATGTCTTCAAAGATCTTCAAACATCTTCAAAAACAATTATTAAATATAGTTATTTATTAAAATAATTTTAAATAATTTAATAAGGTTATTTATTTTAAAATAATTTATTTTAAAATAATTTATTATAAAATAATTTATTTTAATTATTTTAAAATAATTTATTATAAAATAATTTATTTTAAAATAAATTATTATAAAATATGAATTGATTTATTTTAAAAAATTTTATTTTAAATAATTTATTAGTATGGATTAATTTATTTTAAATAATTTATTAGTATGGATTGATTTATTTTAAAATATTGATTGATTTATTTTAAATAATTTATTAGTATGGATTGATTTATTTTAAAATATGGATTGGTTTATTATTGTAGTTGTATGGATTGATTTATTTTAAATAATTTATTAGTATAGATTGATTTATTTTAAATAATTTATTTGTATGGATTGATTGATTTATTTTAAAATATAGATTGATTTATTATTGTAGTTGTATGGATTGATTTATTTTAAATAATTTATTAGTATGAATTGATTTATTTTAAATAATGTATTTGTATGGATTGATTGATTTATTTTAAAAAATGGATTGATTTATTATTGTAGTTGTATGGATTGATTTATTTTAAATAATTTATTAGTATGAATTGATTTATTTTAAAATATGGATTGATTTATTTTAAATAATTTATTAGTATAGACTGATTTATTTTAAAATATGGATTGATTTATTTTAAATAATTTATTATTGTAGTTGTATGGATTATTTAAATTTCAGTATTGTAAAACTAAAATTATTTAAATCTCTGTATTGCAAAACTCTTTTAAATTTAAAAAATAAGTTTATTTATATTTCAGTTCATTTTAACAGTTTACAGACGTTAAAAAACAAACAGTCTTCTTCTTGCAGACTGCAGACTTTTAGTCCACCTCTTCTGCTGCAGATGTGGTCCGCAGACTGCAGACCTTTTACCTCTGCAAAAACAAACACCACCTCAATCATTTTGAAAAAAAAAATAGAAAGATAAGAAAAAATATAACGAAAAAAGGGGTATGAAAGAACCAGTTAGAATGCGTTATATAAATGGTATGAGACCTGATGGATGAAGTTCGAATTTTTTTTTATGGAACCATAACTGAAATATAAGTTTTTTTTGGAAGGAACAAATTGAAAACTTACCTTTATATTAACTTATAATATTATATATGTTTTGGTAAATTATGAAATCCATCACTCAACTTTCTTCTCATTCTTATTTTGGTCATTCAAATTTAAATATTTTTAATTTGCTTATCAAACTTTTGATTTGCTCCTATTTTGATCACTTGAGTGATAAATCATAAATGAAAGGTAACATGGAAGCCGCATGTGCTGGTGTGGATTGATTTGTGTTGACATAACTAGGGATGGCAATGGGTCGGGTTGAGTCGGGTCGGTTTTTGGGTCACCCGACCTGACCCGATAAGAAAGGGGTCCTCCACCAGTGACCCGACCCGACCCGAAGAAATTAAGGTTTCACCCGACCCGACCCAATTTGAATATATGACTTAGAAACCCGACCCGACCCGAAATAATTAAAAATATATATTTTTATTCAATAAAAACAGTGACTTAATTGAAAACAATTATATATAGAGGGGTAATATTGTAATTATCCCTAAATATATAGGTAAAATTATATATATTTTTCGGGTCGGATTTTTTTCACCATAAACTCAACCCGACCCGAACAGTGCATTTAAAAAAACCCGACCCGACCCGAATCTGATTTTTTTAAAAAAAAATATGACACGATCGGGTCGGGTTCGGGTTGAGTTGCCATCCCTAGACATAACATTCATTTTCTTTTTGATTTAACTTCTTCATCCAAAGGCGAAAGTTTTATAGTTTTATCCATATATCACGTAGGCACTAAAATCACCGTTCTCTGACATCTTGTCTGATCATTCAAGACACCGGAGAACTTGTCTCATGGTTAATAATTAAATTGCAAGTTTAGAATCAAAACTTTACCTTATATTAAGATGCAAGTTAGAATCAATTCCTACACTCAATTATATGTGTCCATAATAACTTTCATTACGACAAACTTATTGGTTAAGAGATTTTTTATTTTCCATTCGGCTCTTGAGTTCGAGCACCTCAGTGCTATTACGAACATTGTGGGTATCGTGATTGTGGAATGACAGTTTCAGACGACACATTTACCTTTGTATGATGGTCGCTATTCTGATAACCGACCACTATTTAAATCATTTATTATTACTTTTCATTGTTAATGGAGATAACTTCTTGTCAAATTAGTTTGTTGTCCCTCCAGTCGAGTATTGATATTGATATTGTTCTGAGTAGATATAAAGTAATAAAAATATTCTTCTTTTTTGAGAGAGTAACATTTTAGATTTTCTAAAAAAATAGGTAGATAATTAAATTATTAGTTTAGAATCAAAACTTTACCTTACATTAAGATGCAAGTTTAAAATCAATTCCTGCACTCAATTATATGCGTCTGTGACAACTTTCTTTCTAATTGTGAAAGTGAAAATGAATTACAATTGTTTTTTTAAATTATATAAAATTGAAGACTTTACCTTTTTTATTTGCTAATATTATAAGAAAATTATAGGAAAAATTGAATTTGAGAAGAAGAAAAAAAATTAAAAGCAACCCAAATTTGAGAAGAACCTCAATTTTATTTATAAATAAACACAACATTTTAACTGAATAAACACAGAAAATACAATCCTTCACTTCATCACTTATAAATGACTTATAAGTGAGATGTGACTTATTATCTTGTAACAGTTCTTACACAACACACTTTTATTTTTCAGACAAGGAAATTAAACACACAATAAAACCAGCAATCAAACATAACTAATGCAACTCCATGTTGAAACCAAGCTTTCACATCCTTGCAGTTGAATCTGCTACTTTGATCCATCCCCATTGAACCTCACAGAAAAATATTGTTGATGAGCCATGATTGAAACTGCAGAGTTAAATCAAAGTAGAAAAATATTTACAGAGGGGGAATTAAGAAAGGAACATACCTTGATAATCATGTTTTCCTCCAATTTTAGCAATCTGCTTGAGTTTTGTAAAGCACAACTGGTTTGTCAGTGTCGAAGTAAGCAGGCTTTACACATTCCCAGTGGACAGTATAATTGCATGTTGAGTCTTCATATTCAAGAGCCAAATCTTCACAAAACTTACTGCATTTGCGACAGTGAAGATAATAATGAGGCTTGCGTACAAAAGTAAGAGGATGTTGGTGGTGGCCTTCTGCTTTGTACATGCTTCCAGGTTTGATCAACAGACGGCTTTGAGGAACACATTGGGGATGAGCAGAAAAATCACAACTTGCACAATGATAAAACCAGTGATTTGGGTTTCTTTTTTTCTCACAGATGTCACAGTAAAGATATTTTGAATAATCATTGACCTCTTGATATGCGAGTGCGAGAGGATGTTCATCACACCTCTCTCGAATTATAAGCGGCAATGATTGACAAAAAAAGTCCAGATTGAAATCACAACGCCTGCATCTGTGTAGGTTTGTCCATAATTTACCGCAACCTTTGCAATTCCCTTCGAACCCTCTTAAAAAGAAGAGAGGGTGTTCATGTGCTGGATGCTATAATCTCTGTAAACCACACATGGAAGGCAAAAATGCTCATTACATACTTCACATTTACAGGCAAAGCCGCTACTCTCACATTTGCAAATTCTGCATTTGAAAATGTAGCCGACAACAATGATGAGTCCTTGTTGATGTGCATGAGACCAACTCAACTTCTTCCTGAGTGATTCAGCACAAGTTTTGTGAAGATATAAGTCACAGTAGGAGGAACAATAGTAAAATGAGGTTGAGACGAGTAGCATGCAACCATCACATGTCTTATCATTATCCATGAAATTGTCACTTAATATCTGATGATGTGCATGACTAAAATGTTTTATTCTTGTCATTTCTCCACCCTCATTTTGCTCAATGACAAGAGTGATGGGATTAATGGATGCCAAATCATCATCACGTCGCTCATCTAAATCTTTTGCCTCAATTACATCGTACCAGCCTTCTCGCATTGCACACTTCACATGGGCAATAAAATTGCAATCTGAGCAATGGTAATTCCCATAGTCTATATTAACCTCGGTGTCACAAAACTCACAATTCTGGTTCTTAAACTCATTTCCCGAGAGGAAATAGTTGTGGAAAATGGGGTGATCATGCCGTGGGACTTTGACGATAGGTGGTATTGAAGCGCATTTTGGATGGATTACAAGGGTGCATGCAGAGCACATATAGGAAATTGAATTCCCTTCAAGGCCACATGCATCGCAAATGAACGAGGCTTTTTTCCAGACCAGAGCGAATGGGTGTTGATGATATTTTCCTTTAATGAAAGGTGGTGGTGTTGCGCACTTGATATGAAGAGCAAACTTACAAGGTGAACAAGAATAAACAAATTTCTCATTTTGGGTTTCTTGACATGCCTTGCAAGGTATATTTTCATGGTTAGACTGTAAAACAAGAGGGTGTCTACGATGGGAGGGGTTACTGATTTTAGAAGGTAACTCGGCACATTTAATGTGAACAGAAAACTTACACGGTGAACAACAATAAAGAAAGAGAAAATAACCTCAGTGACCAAAAATCTCATATAATATACGATTTTAACCAACTTTTTCCGGATTTGCCAAAATGACCAACAAAATCGCAATGCGATCGCTAATTCGCAACGCGATCTCCATTATCGCAAATTCGCGTTGCATTTCGCGTTGCGATAGTTGGAAATCGCGTTGCGATGGTATACAATGTCGTTGCGATTTTCCCAATTCGCAATGCGAATAAGTAAATCGCAACGCGAATTGGGAAAATCGCAATGCGATACTGACTATCGCAATGCGATAATACAAAATCGCAACGGACTGACTTTCGCAACGCGATTCTGACTTTCGCAACGCGATTTACATAGCGCCATTCGTATTAACGCGTATTTTTTTTCAAATTCCAAACACGAATTTTTTCTTAATAAATCGGAAACTAAACCGTCCAGTAATCGCAACTCATAACCTCAAACCCAAAAAACACAAACTCAGTCCCATCTCCATCTCTACTCTCTACGGCGAAATCCGTCCCCATCTCCGAAGATTTCCTTCCTCATCGCCGGCGAAATCCCTCACAACCATTCACAGTCAAAAATCCCTCACAATCATTCAGAAATGGAAAATCAACCTCCGAGGGTTAGTTTTTTTTTTTTTGAAATTTTTGCATTATTTTAGGTTTTCATATTGAGATTGATGATAAGTTTACTGGTAATTTCAAAATAGATTAACCATTTCACTTAGATTTCTTATTAAATTCATTCGATTGCTGCCAATACTGCTAAACTGTTTATCCTGTGAAGTTAGTATTTGTCTTTGCTTTGTCTTTTGGTTGAAGTAATGCAGAAGAAGAATAGTTTCGAGAATGAAAATCGCAACACGGAAATAACTATCGCAACGAGATAATCGCAACGCGAAATAAAAATCGCAACGCGAAACCAAAATCTCATTGCGATTTTCATTTCGCGTTGCGATTTTCATTTCGTTGCGATTTTTATTTCGCGGTTGCGATTTTCATTTCGCGTTGCGATTGTCTGGTCGCGATAGTCATTTCGCGTTGCGATTTCTCATTTGCGATAGTCATTTCCGCGTTGCGATTCTCATTATCTCGTTGCGATTTCATTTCAACCAAAAGACAAAAACAGTGTTGCAAATTTTAGTTTCAAGAATAAACTACTATTTATGTTTATTGTTTTGTTTTTGTATATCTTGACAGTGTAATTTTTGGTATATCTAACTTGGTATGTTTATTGTTTTTGTAGAAATTTTTTTCGGCTTCATTGACATTAAGGAATAAAGTTAGCCTAGCCACTACAATTGCTTCGAAGCTTTCACCTGCACAAAGAAAATTGTTTGAAGAAACCTGCTTCGGGCCATGGCTGAGAGTACAACATCCGGGTGGAGATGCTAGTTTGACCCATTTGTGGCTTCAGACCATGACTAGCGATCTACCCGACAGTATACAACGTGGTGAGGAAGAGATATGGTTTCATTTTCCACCGGCGTATACTTGTTTGGGCGGAAGGAGTTCTGCTTAATCACTGGTCTACGATTCGGACACGATGATGTAGGCCGGTACACTCGTCATATCACCGCCCATCATGGTTATCCAGGGTTTTTCCTGATGAGTCAATAGAGAAGCCGAACTTACCGTCGACGACATGAAGAAATGTGTTTATAAGAAAGATGGTTTTACTCGGATGAATGACGTCGATGTTGTGGTATGCCTTCTACTACTTTTGTATGCCGGCTTTTTGTGCAGAGAGGCCATACAACCTATTCCTCAGGAGCTAATATTATTGGTAGAGGACCTAAATGCATGGAATCTGTTTCCGTGGGGTTCGTATATATGGAAAGCTACCTGGACTAAGTTGTCGTCTGCCTTTGAGACCGCAAAAGTTTGCGGGGCGATGGGTCGAAATACACTTTGTCAGGCTTTGTTTGGGCCTTTAAGGTAAGAATTTCTATATAATGTTTTCAAAATTATAATTAATTATTTAACAATTACTAATGTTTGTTATTATATTTGTTAGGATTTTCGGAAGCTCGAAACGACAACCGGAACGATTTGCAAAGAGGGGTCGGAACGGTTTTGTGTTTAGGGAGTAAGGAGATTGAAAGATAGAGAATTGCACAGTGATTATAGTGGTTCGACTTTCTCAATCAAAGTCTACGTCCACTACCTTAGCTCCTCACTAAGGATTTTCCAACAAATTCACTAATTTGTTCTTTCTTTTGAGGATATAAAGTAACCTTACAAACTCCCTAGTTTTTCCGGGCTAAACTAGAACCTTTCCCTAGCTTTTACACGGGCTAAGCTAGAACCTTCCCCTTACAAAAGGATAATAAATGTAAACAAGAAAACCTCTCTAAGGTAGGTGTTTACAAGAGCTCACAAGAACAAAATATTTACAAGAGAAAGATGAAATAAGATTGAAAAACTCTCTCTTGTGTTTGATTGCTTGGATAGTTGTTCTCTTCTTCAAGTGTCCTTAGCTTGTATTTATAGCTTGGAATGAGTTTGAAGTCGTATCTAGCCGTTGGGGATGTTTTGGAGCCGTTTGGGAATGATTTTTCTACTCAAAAAGGCTGCCCAGAATGGGGGGAATCGGTACCCCTTCATAGGGAATCGATACCCCTTCATAATATTCAAATATTATGACCGTTGGGCTGATGAACAGTGAGGGAATCGGTACCCCCTTGGGGGGAATCGGTTCCCCTTTACAAACTGGAATTTTGAGTCTCGGGTTACTGTTCAAACAGTGATTTACTGTTCAATAGTAATTACTGTTCAAATAGTAAATTACTATTCATAAAAACATTTTTGTGCTCAATTTTAAATTAAAAGAACTTTGAATTATTTTTGTAAATTTTGAATAAATTCAATTAAGTCCAAAAACATTTTGTAAATTCAATTCAAGTCCAAAAACCATTTTGTAAATTCAATTCAAGTCCAAAAACCATTTTGCCTTAAATTGTTATATCGAAACATAGTTTAACAATATTGTTTGTAGATTTGGATATTCGAGGCTTTCCCCAGCATGCGGACATATGCATTAAAATCCTCAGATGATATTCCTAGGGCTATTTCCTGGAAGAGGAAACGTATGTTGGATTGGGAAGACTTAAACCATATATGACAATAAATAATGTAAGTTAACACAAATACTATCATATATAAACAAGTTATTAATAGTAGACGTTTAACTTTGTTTTAGTTTTTATATTTTAGGAGGCCAACACTCCATTAATGAGACTGACACCCACGGAGGCTGAGCTTGCCACTGATTGGGCAAGCTCAGCGTTTTTTTTGATGGCACGAATGATGAGCAGCCTCCACTTCCTCCACTTCGAGAGCCATCACCTCACCCAGAGCCATCACCTGATCGACCGACTATACACCTCTACAACGAGAGCCATCACCTATCCCGTCACATCATCGAGTCTCTTCTCCACCATCACCTCATGATAGGCGACCGACAAAGATGCCACGACTTCTATCTCCCTGTTCTCCACCTCCACGGGATGAGTCAAGGGAGTTACGTGATGAGGTCAATGCCTTGCATGAGGAGATCGTACTCTACGCGATAACGATGGTGCATGGCGTGTGGAGGTGTCTACTTTAACGTGGTGAGGTGCGCTACGTGAGATGGTAGTATCGTTGCAGAATGAGGTTCATACTCTACGCAACGAGGTAAGTTTAAGATTTTCCATATTTAACTTGATGATAAAATTTACTGTAATTTCACTTAAATTAACCATTTCACTTAGATTGCTTAGTAAATTTATTCGGTTGCTGCCAAAACTGCTAAACTTTTACTTTAACACTGGAAGTTAGTATTTGTCTTTGTTTGTCTTTTGGTTGAAAGTTTGAAATTATTTATCTTTGTTTTCACTGTTTAAATTCATGTCTGTTTATTTACTGATATTTGTATTGTTATTTAGCGGACCGATAAGGTGGATGCTTTACGTCGGGTTTTTCTTGCACGACAGAGTTCACGCATCAGACGGCGTGCACGTGCTTAAGTCTCCGTATACCCCAATAGTACGAAGACACCGCAAGAAGAAGCCCGACTCACCTATCATCCCTCAAGAGTCCACTCCTATCGTTGAGAGGCCCCTATCATTCCTCGAGAGTCCCTCCCACCGTTCAAGAGGCCACTGTCATCGTTGAAGAGGTCTCCCACCATTCAAGAGCCCGATTCACATGGCGTCATATGTAGGATTCTTGAGAAACCCTCTGACGTGCCGGACATGATGGATTCAAGTTGGCTCTCGTATGAGTTACCGACCAGTACCATACCGGTATCTGAAGAGGAGAGGAAACAACTACCGGACACAATTCTGGATAACACCCTTTGGGCTAAGCCCGCAGTTGATTTTTATCTACATGAGCGAAGCCAGGGGTGTTTCACTGACATATGCAAGCTCAATGATGATATCTATTTGTTGCTTGATCGGTCTTGGTGGGGCGTATTATTAGGGGTCGAAGACAATGGCTATTTCGATGGAGGGGTAAGTCTTATATTTTTCTTATATTTTCATTGATTATTTTTTTGTAAATTTATGTAAGTTACTAATATATGTCTTTTTTGTAAAACAGCATATTGATGCGTGGGTGTCACGTCTTCTAATAATTAGGAAACTTAAGGAAAATAAAAGAAATACACGGTATACAATTATGCCGACGTCTTTTA